CTCTTGTCTGATTGTTGTAGCTAGGACTTTCAGTACTATACTGAATAACAGTGGTGAAAATGGGCATCTTCCTCATATTATAGATCTTAGAGAAAAGATTTTCAGTTGTTTTCCACTCAGTATACTACCCGTCAGTCTGTCATATATATCTTTTATTATATTAAGGTATGTTCTTTCTATACTCAGTTTTTTTTGGGACATTTATCATGAAAGTATATTGAATTTCATAAAATGCTTTTTCTGCACCAACTTAAATGATTTTTTTCCTTTATTCTGTTGATATGATATATTATATTGGTTGATTTCCAGATGTTGAACCATTTTTGCGTCCCTGGAATAAATCCAACTTGATCATGATAATTTTTTTAAGGTGTTGTTGATTTGGTTTCCTAGTGTTCAGTGGAGGATTATTGCATAAATGTTCATGAACATTTGCCTACAGTTTCTTTCTTCCCTTCCTCCCTCCCTCCCTCCCTTCCTTCCCTCCCTCCTTCCTTCTTTCCTCCTCCCTTCCCCTTCCCCTCCCCTCCCCTCTCTTCACCTTCCTCTCCTCTCCCATCCCCTCTCCTCCCCTTCCCCTCCCCTCCCTTCTTTTCCTCCTTCCCTCCCTTCCCCTCTCGTCACCCCCTCCCCCCCCCGCCACCTTCCCTTCCCTTCCCTTCCTTTCCTTTCTTTTTTCTTGCCTAGTTTTAGTATGAGTGTGATCCTGGCCTCTTACAATAAATTTGAAAGTAGTCTCTTCATCTTTATTTTTTGAAATTGTTTGAGTAGAATTGGTTTTCCTTCTTCTTTACATGTTTGGCAAAATTCAGCAGTGAAGACATCAAGTCCCAGGCTTTGCTTTGCTGGAAGAGTTTATTACGGCTTCTCATTCCTTTTAATTGATCTGCTTAGGTTTTGAATTTCTTCATGGTTCAATCGTGGTAGATCATATTTGTCAAGGAATTTTTCCATTTATTCTAAGTTTTCCAATTTATTGGCATGTAGATGCTCATAGTAGTCTAGTGATCATTTGGATTTCTATGATATTGGTTGCAATGTCTCCTTTTCCATTTCTGAATTTATTTATTTAGGTCTTCTTTTTCTTATTTAGTTTAAGTAAGGTTCATCAATTTTGTTTATCTTTTCAAAATCTTACTTATGTTTTCACTAATTTTTTCAATTTTTTGTTTCAATTTTATTTCTGCTCTGATCTTTATTATTCTTTTTTTCTACTAACTTTGGCTTTGCTTTGCTTTTCTAGTTAAGACGTATCATCATGTTGTTTAGTTGAAGTTTTTCTACTTTTTAAATATAGGAACTTATAGCTATATATTTCCTTAGTACTTCTTTTACTATAACCCATACATTTGATATATTTGTTGCCATTTTTACTTGTTTTAAAATTTTTAGTTTCCTTCTTAATTTATTTGTTGACCCACTCATCATTCAGGAGCATATTGTTTAATTTTCATGTGCTTGTATAGTTGCCAAAATCCCTCTTGTTATTGTTTTCTAGTTTTAATCCATAATGTCTAGAGAAGATATTTGATATGATTACAGTTTTTTTAACTGATCTGTGGCCTAACATATGGTCTAACATTGAGAATAATTTATGTGCTGAGAAAAATAATTTTTATTCAATAACTGATGGATAAAATGTTCTGTGAATATGTATTTATGTTCATTTGGTCTGTAGTGTGGATTAAGTCTGATGTTCCTTTGTTCTTTTTTTGTCTAGATGATCTATCCAATGATGAATATGAAGTGTCAAATTCTCCAGCTAGTATTGTATTGGATTCTCTCTCTCTCATTAGCACTAATAATATTTGCTTTATATATTTGGTTGCCCCAGTGTTGAGTGTATATATATTTACGATTATTATATCTACTTGCTGAATTGACAACTTTATCATTATATGATAACCTTCTTTCTCTCTTTTTATGACTTTTGTCTTAAAATATATTTGGACTGGTATAAGTATAGCTACTCTAAATCTTTTTTTGATTTCCATTTGCATAGAATGCCTTTTTTCCATCTTTGTGTTTTGCATATTTTTGTCTTTAAAGTTGAAATGTGTTTCTTGTGGTTATTGGATCTTTAGATCTTATTTTTTCCTTTTTATCCATTCAGCCTTTCCATGTCTTTTGATTGGAGAGTTCAGTCAGTTTACATTCAGGGCTATTATTGATAAGTACAGATTACTGTTATCATAGTTTTCCAACAAACTATGAGATAGGCATGCAAGGCCCAGGAACTATGTAGAAAGATTTTAAAGAACCTGAAATTTATCCCAGTATTTCATTATATTTTTGATTTATTCCTAATATATTCTCAATTTCATCATAGATGAGTCTTTAGGTTCCTTCCAATGAATCTCATTTAGAAAGCAAAGTTTGGCATCTCTATGTAGGTAAAGGATTGTGATGCTTCTGCTGAATGAGAATATTGATGAGATCTACTCTAAGCAAATTTAATATATGAAAATGAAGTTTTACAAACCAGCAAATTAAGCAGTGTTTATTCAAAACTCAATGACTCTCCATAGATTGACAAATTATCACTACTAAATTGTAAACTTGATGTTATATGTGTGTCAGAACATCTAATAAATTTAAGTATTTAATTATGACTTATTACAGAACTATAGCACTGTATTTATTTTTAAATTAGAGTTTACTTGTATACATATAAATATTTCTAGCTAATAAAATATATAAATGAAACATTCTGTCTTCTAAATATTTAGCTGTTAATTCTCTAATTTTAACTATATTTATTACAGTATAGCCTTCAAAAACTCTCCATTTTACTATGGACATTTGCCTATATGCATATGGTCTCTATTATAATGTAATATTCAATATTACAATTCAATATTCCATTACAATGCTTATATCAAAATTCACAAACTTGAGAACTAACGCTAAGCCTCTACTTACTAGATTTTGTATGCAGTGTATTGTAAGCCTCTCTATATGCAATGTTGTATGTTTACTTTTGAACACTTTTTTATTAAAGATTTTACTATTGCTAAGTCTATGAAAAATAACAATTGTTATTTATTTTAAGTTTGGTAAGTGGTAAGATGGGGCACAAAGTCTTCAAGTGACTCATTTTCTACTCTAAAATCTTTAAAAAGCTCCCTCCAGAGTTTTTAAATGTAAGTATTTGTGTTCACTGAGATGATTTATGTACTCAACTCATTAAAGTGTTTTAAAAGGATCCTCAGCAAGGTTAGCATTAAAAAAGAAACTAATTCAGTGCTGAGAATATAAATAGAATACTCTAATCATAAAAAATAATAGAAATCAGCTCTTTCTTATCCAACATAAACTTCTTTCAAGGAAAAAAAAGAAACTCAACCAGCTTCTATAATTACATTTTTATTGTGTTTTTTATTTACACCATATTTCTCTGTTAGGTAAGCTTATAATTGCAGACAGCTCTACCTTATGTATTCAAATTAAAATCAAATAGACTCAAAGTCCTATGATTTTTTTCTTTTGTTCTGTAACAAAGAAAAATTTAAATCTGCTCTTTAAGAAAAAAATAAAACTATTTGATGGACTAGGAATATTGCCATACTTCAAATAATGAGTAAAATTTTTAAACAATTGTTTATATGCCAGATGTGGCGCAGGCTGCATTATAAGAATTATCAAATTTAATTCTCAAAACAATTTTGTGATATATACATATTTTAAGTATCTTAATTTTGCTACGATCAAAAATTCTAATATAAAGTGATTTAGAGCAAAAAGGTTCATTATTAGCTCTCAAAGGTAGACTTCTTAGAAGAAAAGGTAGCTACAGTTTGAAGCGGTAAATTTGTCTTTCTCTGCTGAATGCCATATTGCTAGTCTCATGATAAAACAATTCTTCTCTACCCAATAACTTTGATAACAACTTCTAGTGCTACATACTTCTTTATGTACAAAGAAATAAATTTCTTCCAACATTCCAAATGTTTTTAAATTTATTCTATTTAAATTGGTTTGATGGGATCCCAACCCTAACCCCATCATTTTACCCAAAAGAATGGAATATGATCATTGGTTAAGTCAACAAGGGCTTAGAGTAGGCTGTTTGAAGAATGCATTGTTATATAACCAAATTGTCGGTACCAATAGTTGAGGAGAATTATGAAAGAGCTGATATATTCATAGATAAGAAATGTCCACTCGAATATTATAATCTACACTTAATAAAAAGTGAAGTTCTAAAAATTAATCTAATTAACAATTATTGCCCAGAATGAAGCTAGCTCCACTTTGATGTTTTGCATAACCCCAAGCCCGCAACTCCCAAACCCATGAGAAAAGACTGGATTTAAACACTACTGAGAATACTACATGCCCACATCATTGTATAGGTACTTGGTTTGTCCATTCTAACATACTGGATTTGTTGACTGACTTTTTATGAAATATGTAGCTATCTTTAAAATCAATGGAATTATTTTAATTTTGGATTTTCTAATGAAAACAAAAGTAATTTGACAATTAAAAAATATGTATTTATGTTATGCAATGGACAGCACCCAGATTATTAAACTGTTATCCTAAAGATAGGCTCTGTAAAGTAATGTGGTAGCTGGTTTCCAATGACATTGTCCAAAAATTATTCTCATGTCTTTATGTTCGTATTAAGAAGTAGAACATATGTACCCTCTCGTTGATTGTGGGCTGTCCTTGGATCTAACCAATGAAATGAGGTAAATGTGACGTTCTAGAACTCCAAGCTTTAAGGTGACTAACAGCACCTACTTTCTGTTCCTTAATGAGTAGTCATAGTAAGATAAGCCCAAGCCACATGGAGAGACCACATGGAGAACTAACTTGCCTATGTCAATCCCCTCTGATCTCCCTGCCAAGTGCCAGCATCAAATGCCACCCATGTGAGTGAGCCAAGCTGGATATTCAGGGTCAGTTTTGGATTGGTCCGATAGCTTGACATTTACAACCATTTTGACAGTGGCCCAGCACGTATCACATGGAGTAGAAAAAAACTCAGCCCTATACTTACCTGGCAGGGGTATACCAGTGATACCATGATCACTAAAGTGGTTTTCCCAGAGCGAGGCTTATCCATTGCACTCCAGATGTGCTGACCCCTGCAACTTCCCCAAATGTGGAAAACTCGACTGCATAATTTGTGGTAGTGGGGGACTGTGTTTGTGCTTTCCTCTTAAAAAAAAAAAAACTGAGCCCAATCATTTGATAGAAAAATGAGAGACAATCAGATAGCTGTTTTAGAATTTAAATTCTGATATGGCTTACAATGCAGCATTATAAAAGCAAAATAGTAAATATCTGTAACATATTTCTTTTTTTTTGAGATGGAGTCTTGCACTGTCACTCAGGCTGGAGTGCAGTGGCGAGATCTCAGCTCACTGCAACCTCTGCCTCCTGAGTTCAAGTGATTCTCCTGCATCAGTCTCCTTAGTAGCTGCGATTACAGGCGCATGCCACCACACCCAGCTAATTTTTTGTATTTTTAGTAGAGATGGGGTTTTACCATGTTGGCCAAGCTGGTCTCAAACTCCTGACCTCATGATTCACCTGCCTCGACCTCCCAAATTGCTGGGATTACAGGCATGTGCCACCATGCCCCGTCCAACAGGTTTCTCAAGCTACAATCCCTGCTCATTAGCACACTGATAAAACCCTCATGTAAAACTTACTTGTGTCTGGACCCTGTTCTTTCATTGGAGATGTACTATTCTGCTTCCTACTGTATTAATCCACAGCCTAGGTTGATCTACACTTTCTAGATACAGAGTCAGCAGGAAAATTATAAAAAGTCCTTAATCTCTTCAAGCTGGAAAAAGTTCAGAGTTTAAAGGACAACTACATTTATATTATTGTATTTATAGCTATCTTTATCTCTTTTGTTACCTGGACAGATTCTTGCAGAGCTTATTCAAGTACAGGGAACCCTTCTCCATATGCATTTTGAAAAATCACTTGCAGCCATTGCTTAGAATTTTTAATTTATTTTGAGTTTGGGTTTCTCTCTGTTTGAAAATTTATGTTAAAAAAAAACAGCTTCTGAGATTAAGAGATGAGATTCTGAGACAAGAATCATTTAGAAGATACTCCTCTATTCAAGAAAAAAAAAAAAAAACTGATTGTTACTTTTTATATAATACTGTATAATCACTTTCCCCTTCCCTATCTTCACTACTTTATTTTCAGAAAGTTTGTGTATAACCATGTTATATCCATTTTGGGGAGGTCTATACTAGCAAAGAACATTTTTGAAAAATTTTTGACTGAATAAATTATTATCAAAGCACTTACAGATTACATTATTTCACTTTTTAGTTTTTCTGACCTATATGAGGCCAATAAAGAGCCTATCACTGCATTTGGAGAAAATACATTAGGTATGATGGTCTGAAAGACATCAGCAGTAGCTGACGTGGGATTTACCACTTTTAGTATTCAATATATATTTTAATGTAATGTGCCATCTGTAGCACACCATAGAAATGCAAATCTCAAATCATATTTTCCAGTAAGTTTGCTTTTTTTAATTGCTTGGACAGAGAAAACTTTCAAGAAATTTACCATAGCTAAGTTAGATTAGAATGAGTAAGTGTTGTTTCTTGCAGAGACTAATTTTTCAATAGGCATATGATACTATACTGTCTTATACAGTGTCTACCTTTTCTCTAGGCCAAACATAATTTTGGACTCCCATTGACCAAGAACCTCTGATCCTACTTAAAGCAAAATTACTGAATAGCATGGTAAACAAATTTTCATATGAATAAAATGTATATAGCAAATAATAAGGGACCCCAAACTAGCATACAGCATTTTAAATGCTATTGAATTTTGCTTTAAAAATAAAATTTAATAAACAAATTCTAGATTTTTTTCTATCTTGCTGCTCTTGGTTATTTTATAATATTTACACTGAAATTTACCCAGAATTAGCCTTTAGAATATACCATGCTCTAATATTGCTGTTATTAGCTACTCATAGGAAATGTTAAATATATGTATTCTAACAAATAATAAAGGTAAACAATCAATACCTACTTCAAGGAGCATTTTGTTTTTAATATGATGTGTTTGAAAATAAATAGCATAGAGGGCATCTGACTGTGTGGTACCCTGAGAGGTAATTTGCTTTAACTTACTGGACCCATTCTCATTTGCTAACAACTCCCAGTTTCTATTTTATAGGCTTGTTTTAAGTTCTCCTTGGTCATTTTAGGGTCTGCTTGAAAGAGGTGCATCATAATTTTTATAAAAAACTTGTTGAATTGTCAGATGTTTTCATTAAGCACCAGTTATGTGGGGACCTTGTGCCAGGCACCGGGTCACATAAATGAGAATCATAACAAGGACCAGGATTAAGAAGAGGCAGATAAGTCCTCTTCTAGAATATAGCAGTAACGAAATACCGCCAACAACAACAAAAAATCAGTACTCAGTATAATTAATAGTTGAATGCAGTAATTTTACAAAATGAAAATGTAAGTATTAAATATTGCATAAATAGAAGGTGGGTGTGACTCATTTATTCCTTTTGTGTCAGGCTCTGATGTGACTCAGCACAGTGCTCACAGCCCATGCTCTCAAGAATCTCAGCTTAGGAGGAGGCAAAGGAGTAAAGCAAAGGTCAACATGCAGTGTTGTAGTGGGAAATTAAAGATCTGGAGAGAACAGTGTAATTGCTGGGGGGATTTTACTTAACATGATCACGGACTCAGTGGAATTGCTTCCTAATTCTGAGCAAAAGACAAAGAAATTGGAGTACCTTTTATGCACATGGGTGGTACAGGATGATGAAGCAGAAAGCAAGTTTACAGAAGCCAGAACAAAAAGCAGATAACTTGTGACATATTTTGTGATGTACTTTACATTTGAAAACTAACATCCTGAGATACACATTTTGCAGTTTTGAGTTTATCTGCTTTGTGACCTTGCAGCTGGTCAGCAAGAAAACCAGGAATTTCTAGATGCCTGGGAACTTTGCTAAGAATATGGGGGAGGGTAGATAAGGCTCAATGGTTTGAAGGAAGGCAATTATTCTACTTTAAACAGAGATGGGGGGGTATTATATTAAACAGCACACAGCACAGCAAAATTTAATATAGCAACCACAAATTATAAGGTTTTGCTTTACTATTATTGCTATTATTTAATTTCCTTCTTCAGTATTGCACTACTACAATACTACAGTATTGGACAAATTTCCTTCTTCAGTATTGGACTACCGTATATGTACTACAGATACATATCATCCAGTAGTGCTGGCAACATAGATGGATTAATGCATTTTCAGGGAAAACATCCTACCTATTGATATTGTGACTGCTGCTGTTGTTAAATTACTTTTATGGAAAGGAATATATGATACCCAGTTTACCCAAAAGAGAGTTCCTGAATATCATTTGTTTATTTAAGTATCTTCCCTCTCTTATTATTAATTAGTAAGGAGAAAAAGAGCTAAATGTTTCCAATTTGAATTTGATGTGCTCCTATCTAATTAGCAATTAAAGAGTTTTTACAAACTTAATGAATCTTCATCCCCTTCATCTGACTATCTTTGTTATATTTTTGCAAATCAGCATGCACACAAAAATACAGTTTCATTGAGTTGTCTGACCTAACAAGCACTGAACATTTTTTATCTCCTTTCTCTGAAAGCTTCAGCATTTTGCTACTGACATATTGCTAATGTGAGGAAATATGACTTTATTCTGCTGACTACTAGTTAATCTTTATAATTATATCACCTCTCAAGCATAATCAAAATCAGATGTGAGAAATAGTGTTCATGTGCATCTTATACATTGTGTTTCAATGAAACATTAAAAAGTTCTGAGAATATGTTTTTATTAATAGGGATAAATAATTTTATATTCTAGATAAAACAACAGATTTCTTGACAGTTATGTCACAAACTGAGCAGCTTAAAACAATAGAATTGTTTTAATTTAAAACTTCAAAAGAATGGAAGATACACTTGCTTATAGGAGCAGGGCATATTATTGAAATATTTGAAAAGTAGATTAGTATAAGCAAAGTTATGAAAGGACTGTTATTTGAAGAAGTAAAAACAATTTCACAGTTCAAGAATCCAAAAGTCCAAAGCCAAGATGAGAATTGGTTCCTTCACAAGGCTCTGAGGGAAAATCTATTCCATGCCTCTCTCCTAGTGTCTGGGGCTCTTGGCATTTCCTGGTCTTCCTTGGCTTGTAGCTACATAACTCCAATCTCTGACTCTGTCTTCAATGTTCTTCCTCTGTTTCTCTGTCTCAAAACTCTGGCTTTTTACTCTTCCAAAGTTATTGAATTTAGGGCCTAAACTAAATCCAAGACGGTTTCATCTCAAGTCCTTTAGCTTAATTATACCTGCAAAGACCATATTTCCAAATAAGATCACATTCACAGCTACTGTAAATGAGGACTTGGACATATGTTTAGGGAGTACTGTTCAGCCTGTGAGATATGTTTCAAAATTTTTGTTGATAATCATAAAAAAGAGTATTAATATATAATCAATTATAGAAAGACAAATAGAAGTCAGCTTATTTATAAGCGTTAATTTGTATCATAAAATTATTCTTTTCCTGCAAGTGATTAAAAATACCAGAGAGACAAGTATTTAAAGGGACTGTATCAAAGGAGAAAAATAAGATATTGACTGGCTTTATTATGTGTTTTGCTTCAATGACCTATTGCTGGTGAGAGTGAGATCATTGTTAAATGTCAGAAAACAGACAGTAATAACTATACTGGATGCTAAGTATAGGGATTGTTTTTGTTTCTTTCTGGTGTTACCTAAAAATGCAAAGAGGTCCTTGCAGGGCATCAAGCCTTGCAGTGAACAAACAAAAGGTTCAGAATCTACTGGATGATATGAGTAACTAGCAGGATGAATTTGCTGCTTTATTTTGGAAACATGACTCATACCTTTTAGATAGGTTTTTCCAATATCACCACCCTATCTCTTTCCAATCATGTTTGATATTTAGGTTCAGCCATGCAGAACTAACAGTTATTAAAACGAGTGTATGCCAGCCATACTTCCAGTTAAAAAGAACATAATAAGTATACCTGAAAAATAAGATGAATGTCAGAAAAGAGAAATATGCTGAATGTTAAAAAATATGCTTGAAGTCCATTTCCATGGTGACCTCAGAGTTTTACTGGAACATATTGATTTT